CAGTTTACACTACTCTCCTACAATATTAAATATTTGTAACCCTGCCAGCACTATCTTTGCCAAAATGGACTTTTCAGAACTCTCCCCAGAGCTCTCGACGGCTCTTTTTAGTGTTGGTATTTCTCCAGTGGAACGCTGGCCAGTGGTCCAGTCATGTGCAGCAGGCATGCTGATAAATACTGGTTTCCAGGCATCTAATGATACATTTGTCAGCCTGTGACTAATTGCGCCCCCCACCCCAGTTTTCTTTCTTTTTTTTCTTCCTGTGAAATGTGTTTGGCTACTATACATGAAAATGTTTCAAAAATACTTACCTAATTCATTCCCATTGATATTTGAAGCTCATCGGTACTATGTCCTTAACAAATTCTAGATTGTGTAATTACTGAGTAACATGTTCCATAAGTGAAAATGTGTTATGACTTCGCCAATCATTGTGGTTACTGGTGAAGACTGGCTTTGGTGTTTCATTTGCTGTCCTCATCTTTATACTCTGATAGGAATTGATAAATTGCCTATCCAGAATATTACATTCTCACTGCATCTTGCCAACTTGAATATCTTTCTCACCTTGGTGCTGATAAGGTTTGAGTTGTCTTGAGGAGAAGTTTTGCTATAGATTTTGAATAAGAAATAACACACACACACACACACACACACACACACACACACACACACACACACACACACACAGCATTCTGGTGTTGTACTTCCAAGCATATGCAAGCTTAAAGGTCTGCCTGTCTGTATCATTTTCTCCTGGAATGACAGCTTAATAATTTTCCTGGTTGGATGGTGTTAAATCTTTAAAGGCTACATTCACTAAAACATATGTCCAGCATTTGGGCAGCCAGCGTCTGCATGACCATTTTTGAGGCGTACAGCTTAGCTCTTCGGTGACTGGTGTCTTGTTGCTAAAGTGACATAGCCTGCAGGTATGGCACATCACAGGGGACCTGTATATAGGTATGAAATTTATGCTTTACTCTAACAGCTAAAAATTGCTTTACATCAACAGATAAAAGCTATGTTAAAATTCCACTGATTTGGACTTTTACTTCAAACCATTGCAGGTTGTGCTGAGGTGTATTTTTAGGTTACCTTCAAATGGGTTTTATAATAGTATAAAGGCACAAAGATGATGTGTGCAATATCTTTAAATATTTGTTGTCATAGAGTTTGATCTGACTTGCTTGGAGTGTCTCCCATATTCAGACCACTGTGTTTGTGTTAGCTGTCATTTATAGATAGGCTTAGCTTCTTACCATTCCTATAGATGCTTAGGCAGAGCATAGCAGGTGGGGTAAAGCCATAGATCCCAAGCCAGGGTTTTATCCAAATGGGGTATCGTATTTATCTGTGACTTTCCATGCCCGCATTTTGCTTGCCTCTCCTCTCCTATGACAGGAGGCTGCTGGTGTCTAGTGAAAGATCTTGAAGTGAGGGAACTTTGCTGGGAGAGGGGGCAGCCTTTAAGGTTTTAACAGGTGAGGAACAGAGTTTCCTATTTTTGGAATATGGAGAAAAACATGGAGAAGCTTTTCACAGACCTAATCTTTAATTGGCTTAGCCTTTGCTGGTGCCATTTGTCGCCTCTGACTCAGCGGTGCCCTATGTGCCACAGACCATAATCCAGGGGCAGTTTTAAGTGGTAAAAAGTTGGGGAAGCAGGAACTGGAAAATCCAGCCTATGTGATTTTTCCTGGCTTTGATTGGTTTAGCTTTCATATTGAAAAGTTGCTTAAACACTTGAATTTCTTTTAGATGAGAAGTACTTCTCGCAGATGGGAACTTGACAACTTTAAGCTTCTTTTTCTTTAGAAGAAAAGTATTATCATTTATGTCTATTGTTTTGTATTTTAAAATAGTTAATAACAACCACGTTTAGAAAGCACCATACTGATTTTAAGGTAGTTCAGGAAAGTGCCAACTTTGTAAAGAAACTTCTAGGTAGTTGTGTGTTTTAAAGTTTACCTAGGTGTATGTATGATCTTTGAAAACTAAACTTAATTTTAACAGCTATTTAATCGAGCCACAAATGACAGAATTCTGTTTTATAAATTTGGGTTAATCTCAATATTGATCACAATATTAATAAAGTGAAAATAATGAAATGGAATAGGAAAAACAATTTTGGAGTCTTAGCAAATTAAAAAATATGAATGGTGAGAAGCATATGCCACATTGGGTTTCTGATTGCCTCACGAAATGGTTGAACTAGATCCAGACAATCAAATAGATGTTAATTCCTAGGGAGTATGGCTGAAAATAGCAGTGTTTCTTCTTTATTTTATACGTGTAAATGATTTCCAGGGTTCAGAGATTTTTTTTTAGCATAAAATAATGAAACTTGACTACATTCTAAATTAAGTGAATTAGTGGGCACAAAATCCGTGGTTCAGAGCAGGGGCCCCAGTGGTGCTGAGATAACTTGCGATTCTGATAATTGCTTCTGTATGCCTCTTCTTTGCATGCTGTCTTTTACTTGTATGAGTGCAAGCTGGCATCTCCACACATGCAAAGTAAGGTTATGTTCTGCTTCATCTGCCCTCTAGTTCTTGGTGTTTCAGGAATTTCTGGAGTTGGTTCTGCAGTTCTGATAGCGACATCCTCTATCTGAGAATGGCAGCACATTTTATGTTAGGCACAGTCAGAGATAGTGGACTTGACCCTCTCACACCAATGGGCTATTTGTCACTGTCTGAGGTCCGTTGTCTTGAAGTCTCAGCAAGGAGCTTCACATGGATTCTGCATGAACAGATCTCTAAGAAGGTGGCAGGTGGAGGCTGGCCTCCATTGATTTTAATGTAACCATTTGCTTCTGCAGTCTGTGACCCAAGGCTTCCTCTGTTTTTGAAAGGAATCCTATGATATTATTTAAAACAATTCTATTTCTCGAGGAGATTGTGACCATAGTGATTTGTCAATTTAGTGTTAATCCATGGGCTTTTATTTTTATTTATTTAGGCTTACTGGGAATATTTTCAATAACCTAAATGATATGATAAATGTTTAAAGTACCTTGCATGTGCCTCCTTAACTACCATTTTTTTTTCAGGAGAAATAACTTCTGATCATGTAGAAGGAATATTTCCAATAACATACCCGCTTAAAAGGGTATGTGTCTCATCATTTTTCACAAAAATGAGCCATTGTTCTTCAAGTTACTTATTTTTCTAATTAACTTCGGACATCTTTCCATGTTGTCCATCTTTTCCGTGGCCCCACAGTACTCTATGGTGTAAGGGTGCATCCGTGTAGCCATTTTCCTCCTGAGGGATGCTCAGAAGGTCTTGGTTCTGTATACTTGCATATCATACTGCTTGAAGTGTCAGAGTTGGAAATATTTCTCCTATATCATTATGTATGTACTATGTATTTATGTATATGTATTTATCACCTGCATTTCTCCTGCCTCATAGATATCATCTGTCTATCTATCTTCTAATCTCTCTCTATATATGTCTTTCCCCTCTGTAGATTGCTGGAACCATAGACTGTCTGCCCTGATTGCTTGTTGGGTTTCAATGTTCATTCTAAATGTTGTCATTTGATCTTGGATAGGTTCAAACCTGATTTATAAAGCGCTAGTACATTATATGGAGTTTTGGGATAAAAGCAGCATGTTTGGAGAACTCTCTCATTCTGACCTGTTAGGCATTTACCTACAGCGTCCAGCTTGGGTGATGTTAGCTGCTTCATTGGTCCTGTTATCCTGGCAGGACTCTGCGTGGCAGAGCTTTCACAGAGATCTGTCCAATAAAAATGGATTGCTCAAGCTGATTAACCAAGGCAGAAAGATCTCTTAGGAGGATATTTTGAAAACATAGTTGTCTTTTTTTCATTATTATAGAATGTTTGTGTGCCATCATTTCTAGCTTAGCACATTGAAGTTTAATGTTGATTTTTAAAAATGTCAAAATTACTGCAGCCATAGAAAGCCAAATGCCAGTCCTTCAGGTTGTCAAATCATTGAAAGTGGTAGGTGTGTTTTTTTTTTTGTTTGTTTTTTTCATGTTCTTACTATCTCATGTTGTTTACTACTTAATAACTATCGTGACTTTTTTTGGTTGTGGGTCCTGCCCAGATCTTGAAGCTTCACATCTGTTGGCTGAAGCTGCAGCCATTCTCTTTGAATTCTAAACTAGAATTATCTTTTTCCGTGAAGATTTCATTTAAAGTTCATAAAATAGTGAAGTTTTTAAAACAGGAGTAATAGCAATTTAGAGAAGAATTTACCTCTTCTCTGCCAATATGATTTAATGTATTTTAAGCAATATCATCAATTTTAGTAGTTTTTCCTCCCAACATAGCTGGCACCCTGCTGTGATAGTGTAGCCTCCCCCTTTGCCTCGTGTTTGTACTTAGTCTATCACACCATTGTAAGGCACCAGGATTACATCATTGTGACACTTTTCGTGTTGAAGTGGCACTCGGGTCCTTAACCAGATTATAGTGCCCACATGAAGACTGTTGTAATCCCTCACTTTCAGAGTGACTTATTACTGGCGAATCCCTCGATGATGTGTCTTTTTCCTTCACAATAGTGTTTTCATGCTTGTTTCCCTTTTGGACAACTAATATTTTTTAAGATGATTGTTGTATGTGCTTATGTGTCATATGCCCCCAACCAAAAAAGCATTTCAAATCCTAACATAAAAAGATGGAAAAAAATCAGACCAAGATACGGACATATGAAACAGTTATTCACTTATAACAAAAAAAAAGTCCTATAAAATAGGCATGCGTTTTAAATTATAACTACATGGAGTTATAAATCTCATTTTCATGCTAAGACTATAAGCTACATTAAAATTTCTTGACAGTACAAAAACCCACCCAATAGAAAGGCATTTGTAAGAACTTACTAAACATAAAGTCAGCTTATTGCTTTTTATTTACGGAATTTAAGCAGTTTGTTTTTATTAGTGAATTAAAAGGCCATCATATGCTTCAAATATGTATCTTCTTCAACATCAGGTTCCCCTTTTCTCTTTCAGTCTGTGGTCAAAACCGGACGACTGCTGATCAGCCACGAGGCTCCCTTGACAGGCGGCTTTGCCTCTGAGATCAGTTCCACAGTCCAGGTAGAGTATCGCAGTAACCTTTGTGCGGTTGTACATGTTTGTTCCAGAAGGAAAGATTGCTTATTGCCAAATTCTGAAGTGTGAACTTTTGGAATATGACATTTCTCATTGAGACGGTCCCGTCCCTCAGCTAATGGTGTAATTATAGTGCCAAAGAAGACAATTTAAATTAATCAAAGTGGAAGACAACCCTGGTGGAAGAAGAAAAACTTGAGATGAATTGAATAAAATAAGTTGTGTTTTCCACCTTACCAGGAAAAAGGAATTCTTTTCCATATTAACCTAATAATCCCCTTGTAATAAAATTTAATGTTGTTATGAAATAGGCAGGCTATGAAATTCATCTTAGAAGTTTAGCGTACTCACCCCTAAATCTGTCAAAAGTAGTTAATTTCAAAATACTAATCAGTTTAATTAGTAATCAGTGTGGGGTGTTATTGGAAATATTTGAGAAATGAATTGAACACTTTCATTTTTAAAATGGTCACTTAAGATACTGTGTAACAGGGGAAAACCCCTTTGAAGGGGATTTTACTTCACATTTTTTATCATATATGTGTCATAAATATGTACCATGTAAAGGAATTATAGTTTTCCTTATTTTTTAAATTTAAAAATTAAGTAATCAAAAGTAAACTACATGCATTTTGAACTCAGAATGTCTTTGTATTTTGTAAAAGCTTTTGTTCTTTTTTCTGGAACCACAACTCTTTAATTATTAAAATACATCTGTGTAGAGAATGCATAAGCGTGGTATTAGTAGTTTCATAGAAGTTACAGTGAAAGAATAATGCTGTAAATTACTTTAAAATTTCTAACCAGCAAATGACTTTTTCCAAAAAATAGTTTATGTGCTAGTTAAATTACATAAGTTTTTAAAAATAATACTGTGAAACTGATTTGAACAAAGGATTTTAAAAACTAAATCTAATAATTATATACAATGAAAATGAAGATGTATGTTGTCTATAGCTACTGAAGGGTTGAAAAAAGTGACTGAGTTTTGTCAGTGTTTTGATTTTCTGTTTATTTAATACCATTTAAGTGTCATAAATACTCGGTTTGCATTATACACTAATTATTGAGTAATATAATGTGCCAAATCTTTTTAAAATGAAGCTTTAGGAATAGTCACCATAATGCCAAGATGTTATTTCAAGGCAGAGGCAGAGTTGGCAAAAGAAACTGGATTTTTCTGACTCCTGATAACTCTGTAGTGTATGTACTGAAGCCTCCAGGAGCAGAATGATTGCAGAATGAACCCTAACAACCCACTGCTTGGATAATAGGCTCATGGTTTATGCCAAATGTCATTTGCATATAATTGTACAAGGAAAACAAATAGAAGGTAGTTGGACTTGAAACTTGTGTCTCCTTGTAAAGATTCCTTCCTCCGGGCTTGCTTTTAAAATGTGGTCTGTATTGGTAGGCTGCGGTAGAGTCGAATACTAGTTTTCAGACTGAAATGGACTTAGAAAGATGATCTAATCTGGTGTTTCTTAGATTTTAAATAATATGTGGACTCATGTTTATGGAAAAATGACTCTTCAGCCCCACGAATACATTAGCAAATCCTCATTTCAGAAACACAGGGTTAAGAGTTTAAACACTGCCATTGCAGCTTGCCAGCACCAAAAATCACAAAGCGTGTGTCACAGTCAGGTCCTGAAAATGTGAGATGATTTATGGTGGTAAAAGTTGACAGAGAGATTACCCACTGTGTAATCGTATTTGTACCATGAGACGAATACAGCAAAGCAAGGCAGCTTGGACCACACCCAGATGCTCACAGACTGACCATAGCTCCTTAGATATTCACAGGCACCTGAGACATCATAGCCTCAACCAGTTACCTTTTCACCAGATGCATGTTTGTTACTAAAGTGTTGTGACTGACAGGCTTATGAAGACGGGAAAGGTCTTGAACTAGCCCAGGAATTTTGAGTCAATGCTGGGAGAATAAATACACAATCATTTCTGGGAGTCCGTCAGCCCCAAGAAGAACATAGAAATTTTGAATTCATTATAAAATTGTATGTTTCTATCGAAAAATTCAACTAGTAAACTACAAGGTGAATTAGGTAATATTGTAAAATTGTAAGGGATTTGCATTTAATGTTTTGGGTAATTAGAATTTCGTTTCGTCTTAAGTTAAGCTTTATTTACATAAGCACAGAACACAGAAAATGAATCTAAATAAATCTCAATAAGTGTGTTTGCCTTTTATTGCCTTTTCCCTATTGGTAAAGAAGATTTTAAAAAACGGAAGCTAGAGATGCGGGCTCTTCCTTTTTAGGAGTCATGTTTAAAAATAGGTCAAAGTGTTTTCAGCAATTGTTTTATGCACTTGTCTAGCTAAATGAGGTGGGAGCTCTCAGCCTCCTGCCAGTGAGACCTGCATCAGGTTGCTGGTGCTGTGGGCTGTTTTAAATGAAGTCACTGAAGTGAGTTATAGTTGCTTTCACCACGTGGAGTGATTCATACTTCTATATTTCTTTTTGATGTTTGAACCTTGTAAGGTTAGAAAGCATAAAATAGGGTTATGGTATTGAAAGTCATCTTTCTTGGCAGAAGAGAAAGGAAACGTCCGAGGAAAGCATTTTCATTGTTGTTGAGGGAAGCAGCTTGAAACTGCGGATGAGAATGGACTCTAGACTTGCTTACTCCTTGCTGATATATCCGGTTCTCATTGCATCAAAGAATCTTAAGTTTTATATGAAGTGTTTAAGTTACGGCATTGCTCCCCACATGTTGTTATGTGGAACACACATGGCAGCTCTTTATAAACCCATGGCTTATTCTTTAAAATTGGTTATATCTTAAGAGAATAATTATAAAATAGTAAAATTACTGTTTTTAAATACACAAAAATCTGAAAACTCTTGGAAATCAGAAAATGTTTCATTTATATTTTAAGTTATTACCTATAGTCCAAATAAAAATGCTGAGAATTTTAGCATCACATGAAAAATAGCTTTTTAAGTTTTGTAATTGATATTATTAGAAGCTTCAGAGTATGCTACAAAAATTAAATATCTGGCAGAAAAACACCTTGACAATATCTTAGTATTGTTGGCATTACTATGGAAAGATTATTTTTAGTTATACAAATAAAATATGAGAAGAATGAATATAAAATATAGACCTAACTTATTTACAAAACTTTAATTTGCAGCAGATGGCTCTTCAATCAGGCAAGACTTTTAGAGTCTACATCTTCAATCTCTTCAGAACTGTTTCTTCTTCCTCATACTGCCCCTTAAATTATTACTAGCATTATTATAGTTTTGTTGTGAAATAATGCTAAATTCATCAGAAGAATGACTACCTTATGCTGAGTCTGTAGAAATCATTCACACATTTATTAATAGTCTCTTCTAAAATTCCTATGTATGGAAAAATGCTGATAAGAATTAAAGGAAAGTATTTCATCAAGAACATTAGATTTAATTTGGACGTTAAGTGGGAGGCAGAAGAAGCTGAGGTTTGATACATTTGTCCCGCTTTGGGAGAGATTCTGTGGTCCTTCCTTCAAAGGCTCACTGTCTCTTTTCATCTAATTCTACATTCCCATCTGTTCTCACTTTAGGGTGAGGGCATTTTTTTGCTCTCCCCTTTCATTTGACACACGCTGAAACTTGAAGTCCTGAAGATATTACCTTTGAACTCCAGCATGTAAAAAAGTACACAGACAATAGATTTTAAATAATTCATTGACCTCTTCATTGTGGCATTGAGCCACGATTTCAGTGTTTGCAGAAAATGAATTTTATGTCGTGTTTGTGTTCCTCAGCTTTGTATAACCCCAGATTTTCAAAAACAATATCTTTACTGTACCAAAAAAAGAGCATTAACTTTACCCCTTTTAATTCCCTCCAAATTAAGTTGTATTATATATTTGTGAATCTGGTGTCCAGCACAGTAATTACACATTTAAATGTTGAGATCAAATAGTGTGAGGCACTTTCACAGCTTTGGATACATAGTGTGATTCCTGCAAACATTCTAGAAGCCAACCTTTGTTATTACCTTCCCTCACATTCCCAAAATGACAAATCTCTGACTCTGATATAATTGTGTGATAATAAAAAATAGGCTTTCTGTGTGCCCCCCCCCCCCCCCCCCGTTCAATACTTAATAAGAATGCCAAAAATTTTAGGGATTGTGGTTGCTTAAGGCTTTTTTTTTTTTTTAAACACATGGAAGCAATAACTTTGCAATAGAGAATCCAACTGGAGAGGATGGTAACTTTCCATACCATTGTTTTTATCCTTTCTGTGCGGTCTCCTTGCTGAGAATAAGAACTGTTACACAGACAGACAGACAGACAGGCATGCAGACAGACAGGCACGCATGCAAATACACACACACACACACACACACACACACACACACACACACACACACTTTTGTAAGGTGATCGGATCCTGATAGTTTGGAAGATTTTTACAGAGCCCTCGTGAATCATTGTGTGAAAGGAAAGTTTTGTAGCTTTTAACAGAAGGAATTTTGCCTTTCTTAACTGTTTCATGTTAGAAAGGTTGGTTTGGCAGTTTTTTTTCCCATATAAAACCATTACTACCAAATATATAAATGCTGTATTTAAGCATGCCAGTATGAAAGAGAGGACAGATCCTAAATGATTTTGCGTTTTTGCCACTGTGGTACATATATTATTATTAAGAGTCATAAAGATACTAATTTGAAGAGTAGTTTATTAACTTTGTCATCTCAATTTTTTTAAAGTGCTTATTAGTGACATGTTAGCAACAGACAAAGCAGTCAGGGGAATTATACCTCATTGCTAAAAGATGGAGCCAGTCAGCATATAGCTTTTGACTATGAGCTGGACTTTTTTTTGTCTGTTTAAAATTACATGTATGACATGTATACGTATTACATCCCATATATATATATATATTATTATTATAGAAATATATATATATATATTTCTAAATATAAATGAAAAGTGTGCTGGGGAACCGAAAAATAGAAATCTG